TCGAGACGATCAGGGCCTAAGTAAGTTAGTTAAGAACCCCGAGCCGCCCGAGGAGGTGACATGCAAGCCGTGCGCCAAGTTCGCCAAACACCGGTATCATCCAGACAGACCCGTAACTTCGGAACCTTCTCAACACCTCGTATCGCAACTCGATGTTCTGAAATTCCATGTTCTATATAATCAGCGACATATTCAAGGATGAACATACTTTGAGTAGTTTTGAGCTAAGTTAAAGCGTAGTATAGCGGTTCGAAGTAAGCTCACCCTTTATCAGTGTGGCTTTTTTTGTCATTCCCTTTGACGGGGTAAGTCCATGTGCTACCCCGCTGCAAGACTCTCGGTTCGAATGCACGACCGTGAGCACTACAGTCAGCCTTTCATGACTTCCGCATTGGTGCATCTCGCATTACCCTATCGTACCTAGGTACCTACCAAGTAGCCCCTCCATGCCCCAACATTGACTCACTGCACTCCACGAGGACAGCCAGCCACACCAAGCACTGCACCAACGAGCAACTAAGGCAAGCTACCTACCCTACCTGCCTGCCAACCTTGCCTACCTTAGTACCTCCCTCACTTGCCGCTTCGATCGGACCCCTCCCTCCACATTGCATCCCGCCCGCAGGCTATCCTGCAGTTTTTCACCCCGCGCCTACTAAAAACTCCCCCTTGAGTCATCCATATATCGACTCGATATATGCCGTGGTTACCCCTCCGCCGCCTTGCCAAACTTCAACACCGGCTAGCTCTCAGTTCACACCCAATTGTCCTCTTTCGAAGCAACTTGTTGTATGCAAGTGCGACTCGAAACCTCAACATGGCGGCATCCTCAGGTCCTGCCAAGAACGGTAGATCACAGTCCCTTATCCTACCTCGTTATGCTCCGCCGGCCACCACCTCAACCTTGACGGCTTTCTTGGCAACTGGCTAATGTTTGGTCCCTGATCACAGAGCTAAAGGAGAAATTGAAGGCTGAAAAGGCTGCTGAAAAGGCCGCCAAATTCGCTGCCAAGCAGAACAAACAAAAGCAGGAGAATACGGCGAAACCAAAGTCACAACCGAAGGTCGAACCAACTCCTACACTTCCACCCTTCCAGAATGACACTGCCGCCGGCCAGAAGAAGATTCTTCACTCCTTCGAACACCCTCACTTTTCCGCATACAACCCAAGTGCCGTCGAGGCTGCCTGGTACCAATGGTGGGAGGAAAGCGGCTTCTTCAAGCCTGAGGCCAGCAAGCAGGGTGCTGATGCGGCCGGGACCTTCGTTATCCCCTTGCCGCCGCCGAATGTCACCGGTGCCTTGCACTGCGGCCACGCACTGGCCAATGCCCTTCAGGACACTCTCATCAGATGGCATCGCATGAAGTATGTTGTATCCCTTGGTGCGACTCGGCGTCGAGATGTTTGCTTTGGACTGACATGGGGTTTCCGTTGACATTAGGGGTTTCACCACGCTGTGGGTCCCTGGCTGCGATCATGCCGGCATTTCGACCCAATCAGTGGTGGAAAAGATGTTGTGGAAGAAAGAGCAGAGGACGCGCATTGATGTTGGTCGCGAGGGCTTCGTTCGAATGGTCTGGGATTGGAAGGACGAATATCACCAGCGTATCAACAACGCCCAGAAGCTGATGGGTGGCAGCATGGACTGGAGCCGCGAGGCATTCACCATGGACAAGAACCTGAGTGCTGCCACTGCTGAGACCTTCTGCCGTCTCCATGACGAGGGCCTCATCTACCGCTCCAGCCGCCTGGTCAACTGGTGCACCGCCCTGAACACAGCGCTCAGCACCCTCGAAGTTGAGAATAAAGAAATCACTGGCCGCACCATGCTGAGCGTGCCCGGTTACGAGCGGAAGGTAGAGTTTGGAGTCCTCACCCACTTCAAATACCAGATTGAGGACAGCGATGAAACCATTGAGGTTGCCACGACTCGTCCTGAGACTATGTTCGGAGATTCGGGCATTGCCGTGCATCCTGAAGATCAGCGCTATGTCCACCTGATCGGCAAATATGCCAAGCATCCATTCGTTGACCGGTAAGACCTCCTTCCTCTACATTCGTCATATCAACTGGATCAAAACCTCGACCTGCAGCTGACGTATCGTTACAGCCGCCTCAAGATCGTCGCCGACAACAAGTTCGTTGACCCAGAGTTCGGTACTGGTGCCGTCAAGCTTACACCCGCGCACGATCCTAATGACTACCAAATGGGCAAGACACATGGGCTAGAGTTCATCAACATCCTGAACGATGACGGCACGTTGAATGCAAATGCTGGCCGGTTCGAAGGCCAAAGGCGCTTCGATGCTCGTTATACTGTTGTCGAAGAACTGACAAAACTTGGCTTATTCGTCAAGAAGGAGCCTAACCCCATGAAGATTCCCCTGTGCGAGAAGTCGAAGGACGTCATCGAACCTATCATCAAGCCGCAATGGTGGATGCAGATGCAGGACATGGCAGATGCTGCCCTCAAAGTCGTCGAGAGCGGCGAGGTCAAAATTTCCCCTGAAAGTGCCAACAAATCGTACCGCCGTTGGATGGCTTCCATTAACGACTGGTGCATTTCCAGACAACTCTGGCAAGTTTTCCCTGTCAAGGGCGTTGTGTTCTTCTTACTGACCTTGGTGGCAGGTGGGGTCATCGAATCCCAGCGTACCGTGTGGTGTTCGACGGCGAGGACGCTTCTGAGGGTGACGACTCTGTCTGGGTTGTGGGAAGAACCACAGAAGAGGCGCAGGAGAAGGCTGCTGCCAAATACGGTTCCAAGAAGTTCCACCTGGAGCAAGACCCTGACTGTCTTGACACCTGGTTCAGCTCTGGGCTGTGGCCCATGTCCACCTTGGGATGGCCCAACACCGAGAGTCCGGATTTCAAGCAGTTCTTTCCTACAAGCCTTCTGGAGACTGGATGGGATATTCTGTTCTTCTGGGTAGCGCGTATGATCATGTTGAGCCTCAAGCTCACTGGTCGCGTGCCATTCAAAGAAGTTTACTGCCACAGTCTCATTCGCGACTCTGAAGGCCGCAAAATGAGCAAGTCGCTCGGAAATGTCATCGACCCCCTTGACATTATTAGCGGCATCGAGCTCGATCAGCTTCATGCCAAGCTCCACGTTGGCAATCTTAAAGAAGACGAAATCAGCAGAGCGATCAAGTATCAGAAGACGGCCTTCCCCGGCGGCATCCCTGAGTGTGGCGCCGATGCCCTGCGACTTACACTCATTTCGTACACCACTGGCGGTAAGCACAACCAAACTGGTACAATTCCCCTAACGTCAACCACAATTACTTACAAGGCCTAGGTGGTGACATCAATTTTGACATCAAGGTCATGCACGCTTATCGCCGCTTCTGCAACAAAATCTGGCAGGCGAGCAAGTATGTTCTTGGTCGTCTTCCTGAGGATTTTGTTCCTTTGAACAAACTCGACACCGCCAAGCTATCGATTCCAGAGCGATGGATCTTGCACCGCATGAATGTCGCAGTCAAGGGCATTAACGACACTCTAGAGGCTCGGGAATTTTCAAAGAGCACACAGTTCGCATACCAGTGAGCAAAAGTCCGCTGGCACATAACCAGGCAGCGCAAGCTAAACGTGGTACAGGTTCTTCTATGACGAGCTGTGCGATATCTTCATCGTAAGCCGCCTCATCCCGTTGCGTTGAGACTTGTACTAACTCCATCACTAGGAAAACAGCAAAACTATTCTTTCTGACGGGTCACCCGAGGCGCAGTCAAGCGTCCAACAGACTCTGTTCCTTGCATTGGACGTCGCCCTTCGCCTCATGCATCCGTTCATGCCGTTCATCACTGAGGAGCTGTGGCAGCGCCTTCCCAAGAGGGAGAACGATACTACGAAGACGATCATGCTGGCCCCTTACCCCGCGTTTGACGCAAGCCTAGAGTTTGAGACTGACGCGCGCGAATACGAGTTGGGTCTGAGCTGCGCCCAGGGTATTCGTTCGTTGACGTCCGAATACAACGTGCGGGCAGACGGCCGTGCTTTTATCAAGGCTTCGACTGTCGACAGCTATGCCAAGATTAACGAGCAAGTGGCCGCAATCAAGTCTCTGAGCGGCAAGGGAATTGCAGAGTTGCAAGTTGTGGGCCCGGAAGCTCAAGAGGGCGCCATTCCGAATGGATGCGCTGTTTTTGTCCTTACGGCCGACCTGTCTGTTTTCCTTGAACTAGGTTCTCGTCTCAACAACATTGATGCGGAGATCAAGAAAATTCAGGCGAAGCTACAGAAAAGCCAAGGCGCTGCAAAGAAGCAACAGGAACTTATGTCCAAGGACGGTTTGGAGGACAAGGTAAGTGATGTTGTGTTGACAACAGAAAGGAAGAAGTTGGCCGATGCTCAGTCAGCAGCCGAGAATTACGAGAAGACGATCGAGCAGTTTCAGAAGATGAAGCTCAGCTCAGCCTAGGACACGGAACATATTCTGATGTCCAGGTCTGTAACAGGTAGCTCCTTAACCAATGGCATTCATCAACTGTTGTGGCAAGTGATTGTTCTGGGAAATCGTGAACGCGGGGGAGAGTTGTTCCGGCTGTTTCGCAGCACTTGCCAAGGTTTATTCTCGGGCAAGTTCTACTCATCTCTTGCCATTTGAAACCGCAATTACTCTCCTATCGCTGGGATCAATCAGATCATGCCGGTGCACTGCATTCGGTGACGCGAATAAAACCACGCCGCGAGCTCAATCGACCAAACTGAGAACCCAAAGTGGCTCATGTAGCGCGACACCCTTGATTGCACAAAACGTCCAATCATTTGTGGGACCCCCCACCAGAAACCCCACCCCTCCGTGGTTCTTCTCGTCAAACGCGACACCCCACCACCTGCAAGGTTCGCTTTGGTATAGCATCGACCAATACTGAACAAGCAAGCGGCGGCGGTAGTGGTCAATAAGTGACAACGACGAGGGTTCGTCTGCAGCTGCAATTCTTGACACCACAAACACATCCCCAGCCAGCGCGGCACGCCAGCGTCTCCCATCATGTCAAGCGAACCCCATAACAATGCGCGTGGGCGATCTACGTCTCGTTCGAGAACATCGCGGCCGACTACACCATTGCGCCCATCCTCGCGCTCCTCCTTTCGCGAGTCGGCAAGAGCGAGCACCGGGCCAGATGCTGATGCATTCCCTCTTGCCACGTTCGAGCCTGCATTTGCCGAGCTCTCTGATGCCATGGCCGACTTGGAGGCCAATATGATGCACTTTCAGCTCATGCATGAAAGTTTGTCACGCTTCAGCGAGTCGTTCGCGAGTTTCCTCTACGGGCTGAATATGAATGCTTTTTGTGTCGATTTTCCTGAAGGACCTGTTGCCGAATCATTCCGTCGAGACGGGCAACATGTTGATTTGCAAGGTAAGGAGCATCATCTCACAATCAAAAACACGCAAGAGTCACAAAAGCTGACGAAACGAAAGCAGCTAACCCCGTCCTAGAAAGACCCGGACGAGGCGACGATGATGGAGAAACAACGTTCATGTTAGTTGTGGGTCGTTATCCATTGACAAGAGTTACACAACTGATTTGACCTTAGGACTACCGACACGTCTTTCATCGACAACCCTCCACCATCCTCCAGACCTGTTGCAAGGCATAAACCCTCAGAGCCCTCGATTTCGCGAGTGCCAGCACCTTCAACTCGGGGCGCTGTATCCACTCGAGGGACCGGAGCTGGGCGTCGTGTGGCTTCCGGAACACAAAGGGGTCGAAGCAGTGGGCTACCCAGAGGTCGAGGGGTCCGATGAGGGGCCTGCTTCCTGTGAAATCGCCGCGATTCGGTCTGTAGAAACGGAACACCTGGCTCGCTTTCGCAGGCGCAGCTGCCGGCTCTCTCCACAGCATAATATGTGCCACTGTTGCGCCGCTCATTGTATCTGTCCAACCTGAGGACATGTTCCGAGGGCGAAGAAGGTAATGGTCGTGTTGAGAGCGATGCGGGATGCTGGCTCAGGTGGCCATCTCGACCTCGTGATTTGGGGCCTTTTCAACAGTATCTTTCCGTTTGCTCGGTCCCATATTGTCCGTACGAAGGCCTACCGCAGCCTCGGCTTCTTTCTGACTGTATGGTTCCTCCTTGAGGTCCTTGACTCTGGTAGGGCGCGCAATTAGTCGGCGTCCGTGCGTCGAGCATTTTGTTCGGCATTGCATGGGCACGTATCAAAATAAGAAGCATAAGCTATTGTGACATACCTGCGCCTATGAGGCTTGCCTTTCCTGTGGCTGACGAGGTTCGTCTCTGTATCGAACCACTTCGCGCATTCAATGCAATAGTGTTGGCCGAGGGCGGGCAAATCCTCGGTCGCCCTGGTCTCTTTGTATTGACTGAGATGTTTGGGAGACAAAAGGTCTGCCTTGATTTGGTCGAGATCCCTAGTAGCAGCCCGAACATTAGTCTACCAAAGGCGCAGTGTGTGGTCGAGTAACGTGCCTGGTCTTCCGCCTCGTTTTAGTAATCGTCCTGTGAGCAGTGACACCCATTGCGAATTCCTTCGGTATGGTATAGGGGCGGGGATGGATGTGATATATTGGACGCAACGGCAGCTTTCATAAGACGGATGGCGCGCTGTCTCGTCACCAGTTGAAAGGGTGAGGTTGACGATAAATCAGTTACGGAAAAATTTAGTGGACCAGCAGGGGTCCGATGGTGGGGAGATTTCCTGACAGAGGCTTATCGACAATGGCAGCCAGATAATGCAGTATCGGGGGTGGTGTAGGTGCGCTCTTAGGCGGAGTGGAGTGTCCCGTCGTAGGGTCATGTGATTGCAAGGCACAATAATGGGAACCCAATCAAGTTTCAGGTAAATGTGCTCGAAGTCAAGCAACTTGTCAAGACCTCCCGCGGAGCATAGATGCAGGCTCGGTGATCCCGGCCAACAGAAACAGCGCCGAAAACTTCGCATTCGAACAGGGGGTCGGGCGGAAGGCCCGTATTGATAGGAGATAAGTCACCTCGGCCGAGCCGAACAACCTTGGCTCCGAGCTCAGGCTCCCGCAATGGAGAAAAGAATCTCGGATTTCGCGCGATGCGAAGCAGACGTGTGGCTGGAACGCAAGGACCGTGGGGTTTCTCAGGAACCAGTGGAGCCTACATGCACTGGAAAACGAGACCCTCGTCGTGAACCGAGTAGAGCCGAGGGACCACAAAGCTGCTGCCCGCAATAGCGACTGTGAAGGTATTGTACCGCGTCCGGGGGTTCGAAGCAAGTAACATTGAACGCATCAATGAGAAGTGATTCAGCGGTCCGTGTTGATGCGCACGCGCTCGCTCTTGAGACCAGATTGATAGGTCCAATGTACTGCAGCCCATTTATACCGAGGTGTTTTCAGGTGACGTAGTCCTTACATTCATGTGCTCGCATCGCGCTCAAACCTGAAGGGTCAATATCTCAGTCAGGCTGCGGAGGGCGCCAGACTTCCCCTCCGCCGTGTTGGCGTGCCGGGGCTCCTAGGGGTGTGTGTGAGTGCGTTTTAACACCACCATGACGTGGCTTTAGCAGGTATCGAGAAGCCAAATTTCCGTAACAGGCTTGGGGAGACTGTCCAGACATGGAGTTTTGGCCACTGCACAGAATCAGCGAGCTGGCTGTCAGGACAGAGCACAAGGTAGTCAAGACTAGGCTGTTGTAGAAGAATGGCCACAGGGGCAGAACTCCGACTGTGTGTTCGTCTTTAGTGAGAGGCATCGCGATGCTTCCGAGGCCAAATTGCGGCAATCAGTGAAGAAACCATTTCCTTGGAGGGATATAATGCGGCAGCCAAACGCCCGGGGTGGCGGTATCATGCAAGTTGGAGAAGAGCCAGGGAGACTGGTGAGGCAAATGGGAGCTTCTGCGCAGAGTGAAAATAATCGACCACCCGTGATTGGATGGCTGGGCCGCCGTCGCCATCGTCATAGCCGAACAGATCCACCCCTGGGCCACTAGCCCCGGTGCGGCAACCACCATCCTCCCTGTTCAGTGTCGCCTGCCTGTGCGAATAGCCATCGCAGCCGGCTGATGGGCCAGTTCTCGCTGGAGCCCTTGGTACTTCTTCTGGCCTCGCCGGAAAACCTCTCTCTCTTCTTCCCTTTCAACCTCTCCCTCCCCTCTTCGCCCCAGACTTCCATCGGTTCAATCAACGACTCTCCAGGTCAGGGTGTCTTGATTTACTGTCGCCTTCTGTGACGGTCTACAACCTCACTACTCCCTTTCAATTGACCCGCTCCGACCAGCTTGAGCTGCTGTTCTTCCCCACCCGTCGTAGTCATGATGGCCTCACGACAGCTCCTGGGCAACGTCGCCCGGAGCCGCACTGCTGCCGTCGGCAGCACTGGTCTGCGCCGCAGCATGGCCACTGTATCTGATTCCCCCCTCGACCGCAAGGTATGTTCGCGATCAAGTATGCGTTGTTAGCGTGGCGTGCAGTGTTGACAGTTTATCAGGTCAAGCAAAACAACTGGGAAGACAACAACTTCATCAACTACAAGAAGATGTCTGAGAACCTCGCAATTGTGCGAAGCCGTCTTAACAGGCCTTTGACCTATGCCGAAAAGATCCTCTACTCTCACCTCGACAACCCTCACGAGCAGGACATCCAGCGCGGCTCCTCTTACCTGAAACTGCGCCCTGACCGCGTCGCGTGTCAGGATGCCACTGCGCAGATGGCCATTCTCCAGTTCATGTCCGCCGGCATGCCTTCCGTCGCCAACCCCACCACTGTGCACTGCGATCACTTGATTGAGGCACAGATTGGAGGCGCCAAGGATCTTGAGCGCGCCATCAACATCAACAAGGAAGTGTACGACTTCCTTGCCTCCGCCTGCGCCAAGTACAACATCGGCTTCTGGAAGCCCGGTTCCGGTATCATCCACCAGATTCTTCTTGAGAACTACGCTTTCCCTGGTGGTCTCTTGATCGGTACTGATTCTCACACTCCCAACGGTGGTGGTCTCGGCATGGCTGCCATCGGTGTCGGAGGTGCCGATGCCGTCGATGTCATGGCCAATCTCCCCTGGGAGCTGAAGGCACCCAACGTCATTGGTGTCAAGCTCACTGGCGAGCTGTCCGGCTGGACTTCTCCGAAAGGTCAGTCAATGCCCCCCCCCCCTCGAATCCAATCATCTGCCATTCGTATTAGCGCATGGGGTGGGACTTGGCACATTGCTGTGTATCATCCCCTGTCTTGTCGGTACTGCAACGACGTATCGCCAGAAGGTCAACCGTTGCACAAGACAGCCCATCAGGCGGATCAGGCGGATCACTTTTTCCTCTGAGAGAATTTCATGACACTAACATGGCTCACAGACATCATTCTCAAGCTCGCTGGCATCTTGACTGTCAAGGGCGGCACCGGTGCCATTGTCGAGTACTTCGGTAAGCTTCATCCCTCACGAGACGACCAGATTTAGTAAGAGAGAACTTGGCTGACTTCATCTTCACGCAGGCCCTGGTACCAACACCATTTCCGCCACCGGCATGGCGACCTGCTGCAACATGGGAGGTACGTTCACTTGTAAAAGCTCCAATCCAGGTGCCTGAATAGTTATCTAACAACCTGTAGCTGAGATTGGCGCGACGACGTCCGTCTTCCCTTTCAACGACCGCATGTACGATTACCTGGCAGCCACCAAGCGCAAGGACATTGGTGACTTCGCTCGCACCTATGCTCACGAGCTCAAGGAGGACGAGGGTGCTCAGTATGATCAGCTGATCGAGATCAATCTGTCTGAGCTCGAGCCCCACATCAACGGACCTTTCACCCCGGATCTGGCCACCCCCATCTCCAAGTTTGCTGAGGCTGCCAAGGCCAACAACTGGCCTGAGGAGCTCAAGGTCGGTCTCATCGGTTCTTGCACCAACTCCTCTTATGAGGACATGTCCCGTGCTGCTGCCATTGCCCGTGACGCTCTCAACCACGGCATCAAGGCCAAGGCTGCTTTCACTGTCACTCCTGGTTCCGAGCAGATCCGCGCTACAATTGAGCGTGATGGTCAGCTCCAGACTTTCGAGGAATTCGGCGGCATGGTCCTTGCCAACGCTTGTGGTCCCTGCATTGGCCAGTGGGATCGTCAGGACGTGAAGAAGGGCGAGGCCAACTCCATTATCTCGTCTTACAACCGCAACTTCACCGGTCGCAACGACGGCAACCCTGCCACCCACTCTTTCGTTACCTCGCCTGACCTGGTTGTCGCCATGACCATTGCCGGTAGCCTGCACTTCAACCCCCTCACCGACACTCTCAAGGATAAGGACGGCAAGGAGTTCAAGCTGTCTCCCCCTACTGGTGACGGTCTTCCCCAGCGTGGTTACGATCCCGGACAAGACACCTACCAGGCCCCTCCCCAGGACCGTGCCTCTGTCAACGTCCAGGTCTCCCCCACCTCTGACCGTCTCCAGGTTCTTGAGCCCTTCACGCCTTGGGATGGCAAGGATGCCACTGATCTCCCCATTCTCATCAAGGCCCAGGGCAAGACCACCACTGACCACATTTCCATGGCTGGCCCCTGGCTGAAGTACCGTGGCCACCTGGACAACATTTCCAACAACATGCTGATCGGCGCCATTAACGAAGCCAACGGCGAGGCCAACAAGATCAAGAACTTCACCACAGGCGAGTTTGGTGCCGTTCCTGCTGTTGCCCGTGACTACAAGGCGAAGGGCATCAAGTGGGTTGTCGTTGGCGACTGGAACTACGGCGAGGGTAGCTCCCGCGAGCACGCTGCTCTTGAGCCCAGGCACCTTGGAGGACTGGCTATCATCACCCGCAGCTTCGCCCGTATCCACGAGACCAACCTGAAGAAGCAGGGCATGCTTCCTCTTACCTTCGCCGACCCTGCCGATTACGACAAGATTAAGCCTGATGACAAGGTACGTTTGCGCATCACCCAATGTACTTTCTAATGCGGTTTGCTAACCACTCTGAAAAGGTTGACATCCTCTGCACCAACATTGCTGTCGGTCAGCCTATGACGATGGTTGTGCACCCCAAGGACGGCGCGGCCTACGAAGTCAAGCTGCTGCACACTTACAACGAGCCCCAGATTGAGTGGTTCAAGAACGGCAGCGCCCTCAACACCATGGCTAAGGCTGCCAAGGCGTAAAATACATGTGTATGGGAGAAGCAGGCAGGGCAGGGTGTCCGAGATGATGATTATTATCGCGTTTGTTCACGGCGCAAATACCTACATGCATGCTTTGGGGTGCCGGTTTGGACTGAAGTTCGGATTAGGAGGATGAATATGGCCCCTCGTGGTCGATTGGTCTGCCGGGGAGCTGATATAGGTTTCTGTCCCCTTATGTAGTCCGATGATTTTCTGTTTGTACAAAAGGGAGCATTGATTTATTTTTGAAGCTTTTACTTCGTTCACCCCGGAAATTGCCATCGTGCCAGTACATACTATTCCGTGAGCCAGCGAAGCTGTCGTGACGTATAATGCTCGGCACAAGAACAGTGTCTGTCGGCGCGACTCCTGTGCATGTGAATGGCCAGTTGAGGATCGACGCTAGCTTGATTATGCATCTATCACTTCAATGGATGCGCTATTGGCATATCGGTTTGTTGAGCGACATCACCTTCTACAACTAAGGTAGACATGTGGTACAGCTCAGTGCAGCATGGTCTGTCCGCCTAAAGCATCCGCTCTTCAATTACCTGATCGGCTTCGTCGGATTCTGGGAAGAACTCTGTGTTGCGTCCACGGCTGCCTCCTCCACTCCTCCACTACTCTTTCTACTTCTGCACCAGACGATCGACTCAAGGCTTTTCGATTACCGCCAATACGTACACTCTGATTGCGATCGAAGTCTTCCTAGCCGCCTGCGCTTTCGAGTACCATTCGACCTACGGAAACTCGCCATTTACCTAGATCGACATCAATAGCCAGGCAGGCCTCCGTCACTCGACAGGACACGGCGCGATGGCGTCTTCCGTGTATTCCTCCCTGAACACGACACGCGCTAGAACCTTCGTGCAACGTTTGCCGCTTTTCACACGCCTCGTAATTCTGATTATTTTTCTGGCTTGGGCTGTAGGATTGCAGTCAACATGGGATACTCGGCAATGGGGGTCACTGGTCCCTGACCAGCTATCATTCACTTCAGGTTTGTTCCCACGTCGACCTTTTGCTATCAGGATACGCCGACTAAGCCTACCACGTGTCGTCTAGCTTATCGGATCAATACCTTTCCTTTTATCCATGTCAATCTTATACATACAATCTTGAATATCCTGGCCCTAACGCCATTGATGGACCGATTTGAATCAGAGTTTGGCACTTTAACCTCGATATCCCTCTTCATCGGCCGTAAGACGACCTCAGGACGACTTGCCGTGGGGACACGACTGACCCGATGCCAGCTCTGACAACTATTCCTGCCATTGCCTACACCATTATCGAGTTGCTTATCCTCCGACGAAACACTCCGGTCATGGGGGCTAGGTGAGATGCACCAAACTGATGCGACAACACATATGCGTGATGCTAACAAACGCTCACAGCATCTGGGTCTTCCTTCTCCTTGGTGTCGAAGCCATTCGGACATACAAGACGAACCCTCATCTGACAATTGGCACGTGGAAGATACCGACATGGACAATACCGCTGATCGTAGCTGTCGTGGTCTCAGCTCTTGTACCTGGTACCAGCCTCCTAGGCCATCTATGCAGTCTTGGGGTGGGCTACCTTTGTAAGTCCCCTTGTCTTTCCACTGCTGAAAATTTCACCAGGAAACTTTATTGACAAGCCTGACATAGTTGGACTCGGCTATCTTAAGTTCCTTGCACCCCCTGAATGGGCTCTGCGCTGGGTGGAATCAAAGCTGAATCTTCTCGGGCGTCTCCCGCACTACGTCAGCGTGGATCAGAAGACATACGGCCGTTTTGGCTTGTTGCCGTCAGGTGGGCACGCCAGCAATAATGTGCCGATGTCTCTCGTTGGATCATCGCAGCGATTAGGAGCTTAGGCAATCACGAGCACGCGCCTTGCCACAAGCTGCAATCACAATGTACATAACGACCTTTGTGCTCGGTTATCGTTCCGGATTACATCAGTTTCAGGCGTTTGCGGAGTTGGACATGCTGTGGGATAGATCGTTTTGCTAAATACTTGTTCCTCGGCGCATCCGAGATGGTCGGCATAGTTGGTTGCAGTCTTGTGGCGGATGACCAGTGACTGGACTGGGTCTAATTCACCTGGACTCCGAGCATTGCCGATGGGATGGGGGCGCTTCTATGAGAGGCATCGAAGCCGTGGATCGTGGCATACAATGTAATGTTTTTTTAGTCCACTCGCTAGTAGTTCTGGGTAAGCTCTCGAATGTAGGTCGCGTGTTGAGATCCGTGTGTCATTACACCGCTTATAAGCATTTGCTCGTATGGATCTCCCATACGGGTCAAAAACGTGGGGCTCGTGTAGGTCTGTCAATGCAGGGAGTAGTAGATGCACGGCAGGCGGGGACCCCTGACCACGGAAAGTGGTCTTGCTGGCCTACCTAGGTATCTAGGCATTGAAACACTACGCCAGCTCAACGTGTCGTAGATCTAGAACCGACACCGGATTGAGCACTGGCACCACCGCTATCCCACCTGTCGTTGTTCAAGCGTTACCAGGATTCATCATCATCAACCCTAGTCCTGGACTGCATCGTCTAACACACCTTCATTGAGGCGCAACCTGTCCTTGTGTTCTCGGAGGGAATGCCTCCTAGAGATATACAACATGTCGCGCCTTATCTGTACGTCCACAGCCTTACGTTCCAAGAACACCCTCGTGAACCGGCTACACGTTACTGACGCGACTGTTTACAGCTTCAGCACTCTCCATCAGACGCGACCCTCGCCTGCTCAAGTTGCCTCCATATCTGTCCCTTCTCTGCATTATTGGAGGGATCGCTTGGCTCTTTCTTCTGCCACTCAACGATTACTCGCGAAGGACGTATATATCCGAGAATGCGTTGCTCCCCGGCCAGGTGCACACTTACTTCGCCGGTAGCGATCAAAATGTCTTCCGAGGATACAAGCACGAGATCGATGGGCTTGCGGGCAAGAGTAATTACGAGTATGGCCCATGCAGCCACATCCACCAAACATGTCGTGAGACTAACAGAGTACTGCAGGATCAATAATTACCTGGAAGCCTTGCTTAAAAGCTTTGGTATGAAGGTCGGCCGTCAAAATTACACGTACGAGTCGTCGGGTTCTGAGTATGCCGGCGAGAATCTTTACGCTATCCTACAGGCCCCCCGCGGCGACGCTACCGAAGCCATCGTCCTCGTCGCAGCTTGGGAGAACACTGATGGGATTCGCAATTCTATGGGGGTGCCGCTTGCATTGACACTGGCGCGTTACTTCAAACGATGGTCATTATGGTCCAAAGACATAATCCTGGTCATGCCACCAGACAGTACAACCGGGACGCAAGCCTGGGTGGATGCTTATCACGACGCCCATGATCCGGCGCGAGTTGCTTCCTTGCCAATCAAATCAGGCGCACTACAGGGTGCCATCGCCATCGATTTCGCACAGGAGCATCGTTTCAAGAACATACACATCGTCTATGACGGAGTGAACGGCCAACTACCCAACCTGGATCTAATTAATGCCGTTAACAGTATCTCCAACGGTCAGATGCATATGCCAACACTGATCCAAAATATGTGGAAACACTCCGACAAGTATAATGACCGCTTACGCACCATGCTTCGCGGAATGCTGAAGCAAGGCTTGGGCTATGCATCTGGTCCCCACAGCAGCTTCATTCCCTATCACGTTGATGCTGTTACACTTCAGCCCTTTGGCGATGGGTGGCAAGACGAAATGGCCATGGGCCGTCTCATTGAAGGCTCGTTCCGTAGCCTGAACAACTTGCTGGAACACCTGCACCAAAGCTTCTTCTTCTACCTGCTTATGAATAAGGATCGCTTCGTCAGCATTGGCACATACCTGCCCAGTGCCATGATTCTTGCTGCAAACTTTAGCATCATGTCAATATTCTTCTGGGTCAAGAGCGGCCACAAGGAGCCTGGACATGGTTCAGAGAAATCCAGGTCAGGCCCTGGTTCAGCCGGCTCAACAACAGTTCAAAGAGAACTCTTCGTACCCCTTTTGGCTGTGACGATAAGCCAGTTCCTAGGGGTCTTTCCCCTCTTCCTCTTCAATCATCTGCCAGCAAATGTATGACCTACTTCCGTTCCGTGTTCTATTCCAGCTAACCAGATGGCAGCTGCTCTCCGTGGCTTTCTCAGCTTTTGCGGTTTTGAACTGTGTTCTTCCTTCTGTGCTATCCTACATTTTAAAGACAGCATACCAGCCCACTTTGCAGCACTATCAGCTCATCAAATGCTTCTCGCTGCTTCTGCTGGGCATGTTCCTGTCGGCTCTGGCTACGTTGAATTTCTCGCTCGCATTTTTCATTGGGCTGCTTGCCAGTCCTCTGACCTTCATGCAACCATGGCCCAAGAACGACTTCGCCAGATATGCATCTTCGGCACTGTTGCAACTCGTGTCCCCGACGGCGGTGATACTTTCAGCAACAGCTTTCTTTGGTCTAGATATTGGAGAGGTGTTGCGGAACGCAGCATTTGGATGGAATGTATGGGGCATGTATACGCCTGTAGTCATTTGGTGTGTTTGGTGGCCTGCATGGATCGCGGGGTCGGTGATGGTTCTTGGGCCTACTTCTTGAGAACGGCATTATTCAAGCCTGGCAATGATATCACTTCATAATGCAGTTGCCAAGCTCGGCATTACCATAAGGCGCTACTGTCTTGGTGCGCTGCTCCCACTTGAGATGCCTGAAGCAAAATGCAATTCCACGAGAAAATGGCCCGCCCAAACCGGACTTTTATTTCGAGACGTGTCGAAACTCACTCGGCACATATTTTTATTGTATTGTACATTTTGCAATGGTCACGTATGCATACTGCTGGTACGTTCCGTAGCATCATTTCTATCTGCTTCCTGCTCTCGTCCTATAACTATGCAGCCCACACATCGCCACCGGCTGCCTCGATCCAGTTGCCCAGTTGATTGACGCTCGAGTCCCACTCCAGCAGACGGTCTCGCATGTTGCCAATCTGCTTCAGGTCCAGCACCTTGGGCTGCACCCAGGTGATGTGGGCCATCCCGTCCACCTGGTCGATTGTGCCCCGGAGAAGGCCCAGGCTGAGCGCCTTCATAATAAGGTGCTCGATTTCGTCAGGGCGCACCTTGGTCTCGCTAGCTATGTCGGCAAAAGTCATGGCGCGGTCGTGCGGTGGCCGGCGGAATATGGTCTCCGTCAATGAGGCGAGATAAATCTTTTGGCGGAGGTGGTCCGCATGCTCATTGAGAAGAGGTGTGGAGGTGATATTGCCGTAGAGCACGTCAAACGCGGCAAGATCGCCCCGGTTGAACGCGAAAAGAAGGTCTCGCAGCCAAGCATTCTTCTTGCTGTCCTTAAGAGCATCGAGAATAGGATGCAGCAGAAGTTCGCCAAAGTTATAAATACTGTCAGACAGGAGAGCGGCAATGCTCAGGTGGTGAGCGCGGCCATGTCGTTCGTTAACGGATAGCGAGCTGATATCAATGCAGGCCAAGTAGCGGAGGGCGTTGCGGTAGTAGGCGGCAAAGTCCAATTTGCGCTGGTAGTGACCGACGTATTAGTTATCCGGTCACTTTAAAGTCATGGATAGACCATCTCTTACCTGGTAGTAACTGGCGTTTGCATCGTAAAAGGCGGCATGGATAATGGTCTCGACTGAATCAAAGGTATCGAGTATCCTCTCCGCTGCGTCGAGGTCCTTTCGGGCGCCATCAAGATCCTCAAGATCGAGCTTGACCCGCGCTACAGCCACAGACGCATACACAAAGGCATCTTGTGAGTTGGGACGATCTACCTTGGTTGCAACGCCTTGCAAGAAGGCAAGCTTCTCGTCGTCATCTGGTCGCATCGTTTGTCAGCATCACGCTGCAGCTTGCTTCCGACAAGTTATACAACATACCATCGCATTCGTCGGCGGCCTTCAGAGCAAGGTCCACGAGCTTCAACTGATTTATCTTGTCGGCAAACTTGAGAATGAATACTTTGTAGAAGTCGAGTCGTTGAGGCGCGCTGCCAGGATGTGTGAAGAATTCGCCCAGTGAGTCCGTTAACTGATGCCAAAGCTTGCGTTCCCAGTAATCCTCAAACTGGATGATGTTATGTTGGAGCTCTTCGGGAGCCTTGTCGCGCTGCTCGGCAAGAAAATCGGAGATGGTGTCGGCACTCATATTGGCTAGGCTAGAGCTGTAGGCTCTCGTCTTGTCAGGGATAAGTTCGCTCCTGGAAGACGGTGATCGGCTGGCGAGTGCAGAGTGCGTGATCTTACGGCGAGGAGACGTCCTCTCTAGTAAGTGCAGTTTGCAAAGAGTGGACCAGAATCCGGCGATAACTGTGACGTGTGTGCCAGAGATGCAGTCTTGGGCAGTGGATGCGATTGTCCAGGAAGGTAAGGGAAGGGAGGTAGGCAAGTATGCACTGGAGCCAGGTGCGCTCATAGGCGCAGGTACCTTGTCAACGCGGCTGCCGGGAGCCTGGTCGTACCTGACGTGGGGCCTTGGTCGATAGGCAGGCACCTCACTACCTACCTACCCACCTAAGGTAAGGTAGGCAGAAGGTACCTACCTGGTAGAGCTCCCACTAGCTGGTGGGGTCTCACCAGGTGTCTTCGTGAAATGCACTGTCCCGGCCACAATGACGGCTGAGTCAGCGTTCATTCTCAGCCTTTACCAACACGTGACCGTTCATTGGTTCGTGCTCGTCAACGAGCCCATGGTTCATGACCCGAAGTGCGCGCATCGTCCCGCGAGCTTTGTGACCGAACTTCAGCATTGCCACCTTCAATTGGGACCGAATTGCCCTTTCTGGCCCTCGCCTGGACTCGAAAATGGCTCCTCTTCAGACCGCCGTGCGGTCGACCCCTAAGGTTGCTCAGAACTTATTGCGAAGGCAGCCGATTTCCGACATTGCAATCACGCGGACTGGCAAACCCATTCTACGAACCCAGGGCGGAAGGTCAGTCATCGAGGTCAATTGAATGCTGGGGAGGGCTTTACTGATTTCTTCGTATAGATCCTCCCTCGGCGGTATGTCCTCGATCTGTTGGCAGGCGCACGATGCCATTCTAACGATTTTCCAGGCCACACAGCCACCGTTTTTGGTGCAACGGGCCAGTTAGGACGCTACATCGTAAACAGATTGGGTAGGATCGCACGCCCTATGTCAACTCATTCTTCGGTCTGACAGCTTTCCAGCTCGCCAGGGATGCACCGTCGTTGTGCCATTCCGCGAAGAGATGGCCAAACGCCATCTCAAGGTTACCGGTGACCTTGGCCGTATCGTCTTTGTTGTATGTTTCCCTTGCAATACCAGTGCATAGCCTGACTGACCTGTGGCAGGAATACGATCTGCGTAACACCGAATCAATTGAGCAGAGCGTCAGGCACTCAGACGTTGTCTACGACCTGGTTGGCCGAAACTATCCCACCAAGTACAATCAACCAACCACCTGTCCTTATTCACGTCTCGTGCCTTGTTGGCTGACGATTCGCACAGAAACTTCTCTCTTGAGGATGTCCATATCGAGGGTACCAAGCGAATAGTCGATGCCGTGGCCAAGTACGACGTCGACCGTTACATCCACGTCTCTAGTCACAGCGCGAATCTTGACTCGCCTTCCGAATTCTACCGCACCAAGGTTCGTTGATATGTATCGGAGACGGCTGTACGGGTACTGATATGGTATGCAACAGGCTCAGGGCGAGCAAATTGCACGCAGCATTTACCCCGAAACCACCATCGTTCGGCCTGCCCCTCTGTTCGGTTTCGAGGACAACCTTCTTTTGAAGCTTGCTTCCGTTCTGAATCTTCTTACGGCGAACAACATGCGCGAGCGCTTTGCTCCTGTCCACGTGAGTTCTACCTGCCTATCTGCCCTTTTCAATTCTGCGGTGTATCTAACTCGCTCAGTCTATCGACGTTGGTCATGCTCTTGAGCTTATGCTCTACGACGATAACACTGCAGGACAGACTTTCGAGCTCCACGGACCCAAGACGTATGCCATGTCTGAGATTGCGGAGATGGTCGATCGGGAGATTTTTAAGCACCGCCGCCACATCAACGTCCCCAAAAGCCTGCTGAAGCCGATCGCCGGCCTTCTTAACAAGGCCCTTTGGTGGCCTACATTGTCCGCCGACGAGATAGAGCGCGAGTTCATCGATCAGGAAATCGATGAGACGGCTAAGACATTTAAGGACCTCGGCATCGAGCCCGGTGATATCAGCAAGTTCACATACCACTACCTGGTCAGTATATCAAGATGCACCAGTCTATAATACCGTGGCTAACCCCCATTGTAGCAAGGGTTCCGTAGCGGCAATTTCTACGATTTGCCGCCTGCGACTGAAAAGGAGAAGAGGGAAGAGCGAAAGTATCTGCATGTTGGCGATGAGCTGTGAGATGTGATTCCCTTTGCGCCCTTGTTGGAGGGTCGTGTAATGGGTGTTCAATTGTAAATAATCGCTCGGTTTAGAGTAGGTATCGCTTCACAAACATGTCTCTTAGTCAACTTGACTCTATGGAAGAGGCGTCATCGCTTGATTCATGGCGAAATGCTTGTTCGCGCGCTACAATGCACGGTTTATGAGACTGTCGGTCTCGGCAGAAAAGTGGCTGGGATTAAAACAGTGTCTGCCCGCGGATGTCTGAACGCCTCGGGGGATGGAAGACAGAGCGGACCAATGGAGCAACAGGAACACAGCGTCATCATGAATGTAGGTCTGACTTCCGAGGGACGAGGATTTGGTAAGTCTGTCAATCATCTCGCAAGTGTCCTCGAGTAATGATCTCGCCATATGGAGTAGGACGGATTGTATTCTCTTGGTTCAGTTCGAAATGACAAGACTCTGTGCGAAGAGTTATTTGGGAAATGCAAAAGGAATAAAATGTGCATTCTTTGCCTCAAAATGCATCGAGTCGCAGGTGTACGGTTCGAGCTTTCAGGCTTCAAAAGTCCCACGTTCTTGCCTTATGTAAGTTCGGCCACTGGCTTTCTCCACCCAGGCAAGTTCATCTGTCAGACAGGAGGTAACAACACCGTAGTGACTGAATCAAGAGCCCGCGGCCTGCTCTGACGTCTCACCCCGTCAACCTCAAGTACACACAGCGGCAAAATGGATGATTCGGACGACGAGCCCCTGTATGTCGTATTGCGAATTCTAGGCCAAATCCTGTCAGGAACTGACATTTGCCCCACAGTGCCCTTTCGTCTCACGCACTTGCTGCGCTTGCAGAGTTCAACGCCGAAAAGGATGCGCATCAGAAGCGCTTTGAGGAGCTGAATGCAAAGGCTGAAGAAAATGCGGCGAGGAATGTGCCACTTTCTATGTCTGTTTTTGAAGAGGACTGGAACAAGTCGCAATTCTGGGTATGTGATAGTTGACGGATTGTCGCTACGCAAGATTCTGCTGCACGGCTCAAGAAAGTAGGCTTGGGAGATGGCTAACCGATGAGGCCTACAGTATTCGGACGAAACAGCACTGGCTTATGCTGGTGAGCTTCTTCGCGACGCCGACGAGACGGATACAGTTGCCGTCGTCTCAGCTCCCAGCGTCTTCATCGCGTTGAGGAACCTCTTGGCAAGTCACATGTGCAGCATGTCGTTCTTGTTGTCGACGAAACATCTGACTATTGTGACCACAGGGCCAGTATGGTCCGGAACAGCCAAAGCCTAAGATTATCCTTTTAGAGCATGACGACCGCTTCAGGATGTTCCCAGAGTTCGTATGGTATGACTTTGCTCACCCTTTCAAGCTCCCAGGTATGAACAACTCCATCTTCCACAAGAAGCCGCTTGCCCTCGGGCTTCTTGTTTGGCTAGAAGCGAACGACACCAGAGCACTGACCTTCGGAAGCCGAGCTCAAAGGAGCGGTTACCCGCATCGTCTGCGATCCGCCATTCTTGAACGAAGACTGCCAAACCAAAGGTATAGTCGTACCCTTTCAAGGAATAGAGACCGAAATTCTTGAAATAGTTACGCAAGTTTTGCTGATTGTGTTCGCAGCTGCTATGACGGTCCGGTGGCTGGCCAGCCCTCGAGTCCCAACTACGGGTCGCGTGATTGTTTCTACTGGCGAACGTATGCGAGACCTCATCGCCAAGGTGTATAGGTCGTTCGGAGTGAAACTGACGACATTCGAACCAAAACACGCGCGAGGGCTCAGCAACGAGTTCTGCTGTTATGCCAGCTACGAGTGTCAGTTGTGGACGTGGCAGCAAATGGCTGAAGGCGGGCAAGAACAGTGATGCGGCGGCATGCATCCATGTGTGATTCGGTATGTGCAAGAGACTGCACATGACTTGGAGAACAGACTGCGAAGATCTCCCCACAAATGTCACTGTTTCATTGTGCAATGGATTACCGCCTGTCCTCCAAACTCCAATACAAACAGATGGCCTGTACCCTGGTATGCAATGTTGTGTGCCCTGTCCAACGCCGTGAAATGCCGACTTGTAGTAGTTCTCTCGTGCCTGCTCTATCGCGCAACCATCGGTGATATGCAAAGCGTCTAAAGTCTTTGCCCTCACGGGCTGTACCCAAAGAATTTGGAGTGACTGTGCAAAAGATACGAGCGCGGGGCTCAGGAAAGGGATCTGATGATGTAAAACAGCAAGTATGGTTGTGCGCTGAGAACGTCAGACTTTGAGGCCATCTCAACCTTGTGGTCATTGAATTTGAACCACTGATCGGCAACTCGGCAATAAGAAACATAGTGACCTAAATATTTTCATCAGTCACATTTTCACAACTTTATGAAACAATCGACTACTCACCCGTATCTATTTCGCCAACGTGAACAACAACACTGAGGAGATCATACGTGCATGACCTCGCCAGCTCAAAGGATTCCTTCGTATCACTTCCCTTGGCTCTGTTGGTATAGGGGAGCATGTTCAGCTGCAAGGGAAAATTGACTGTCGTGTCAATCTTGGACGGAGCCCTGTCGTGGCGTCCTTGCTTGAACTCGAATCGCTACAGCGCGTCTTTAGTAATAGGCCCAGATATTCCTGACCTGTGTCCTACATACCTTGAGCTGGATGGCAAGCACATTGGGAAGCCGTTTGATGCTCGTGTTTCGCCTTGCCTGTTGTGTGGAGTCACAGTTGTGGCAGCGATACTCACACTTGTCTGATTTCACATACTCCTCATCGAGACACTCTTGAAGGGTAAGACTTGGTTGCTTCTGTCCCGTCTTCCTAGCTCTTCGCTGCGCAAGGTTGTCGAGACCCAAGCTGAGGTCGAGAAAGGATTGTACAGCATTAGTGACCCCGCCACAATTCTGACAAGTCGTGGTGCTCTGAAGCTTGCCGTAGAAAGTTTGATGGATGATACAGTTGCAACTATGCTCGCTCCCGATCTCGGGTGGCTTGCCGTCGCCATTACGTTCGTGAAGCTCTTCTGCAAGAAACTGGAAGAATTCGTGAGCATCCTGCTCCTTGGTGGTCACGAGATTTTCGAACGCTTTCTTCTCAGATATCCAAAAGCCGGACAAAATACTGGCAGCGGTAAAGCCGTTCGTGTTCTCCACGGCGTAGAAATCCTGAAACATGTCGTCCATGGCGCAACTGAGGCAATTGCTCAAGCTACAATCAGTGCTTTGATGGCCATCGCTAAGATAGAAGTTTCGAAGCAGCGGGTTGTGGAGGAAGCTCTGCAATACGACGTTCTGATAGCATGTAGCACCAGCATTATAAATTCCACGAAGGCCGTTTGCCTTACATGAGGCGGTTGTGGTGTTTGTGCTGATGTAGAGAGGGTTGTCCTTTAGGCTTTCCGCGAATAGCTCGTCGTGTTTCCTCTTGCGATCTGGCAGAAGCGCTGCGTTAGCCCTTTGTACGCAGCACATGTTCTGTCGAAAAAACGTTGGATATGAAGCTTACTAGAGAACGTGCCAGTGCCCATTTTTCTAACTCTCAGGTCTTCTAAAGTGGGATCCCAGACCAAGTCATCACAAATCTGACAGTAAAGTGTCCCGCTTCTAGAGTCAACATCTTTTGACGTGTTAGCTGCGCAGATGATTTTGATGCACAAAACTGGGCGCATATTGTAGGCGAACTTACAAAAGCGATGCTGCTTTTTGTTTCCGTGTTTGAGACGCTCTTCCTCCGAAACAATACTCGAACATTGCAAGCATAGGTAGTTGGCCGTGAGCGACGTTACAGGCTGACCATCATTGTTCTTGGACGTCTGTGGAACCAGGGGAGTTTGTTCAAAGATATTACGGAGAATCATCTTGTAGTGGTGAACAGACTGGTTCGTTGTGTCCTGTGACTGGGACAGCAGCATCTGGACGTGTTCTATGGCCGGTCAGGGATCTCTTCCTGCAATTATCACGTTTGCATTCCAATTACTGGTATTAAGGGGCTGAAACTAACCGCAACCAAAGATGGGCATCCCAGGGGCCGGCGACTTGACCCTGGCTGTCTTAGGAGACAGAGGAGTATTTGGCTGGGCAGACATGACTGGACGTCGATTGGCGCTGACCTGCTTGTTGGAGAAGAAGCGAGAAATGTATTGTGTATTTTTTTCAGCGAGCTATTGTGCAGGTGTTCTCTTCTCAATCGCTCGATGCTCTCATTTAGCGATGGCGGGCTGTTGGCCGGTCGTTCGTACTGGTCAAGGAGGCTGGTCGTGAGAAGGGAGGCGTGTGGTCGCGGCAGCAGGACTCTAAAAGAACCATTCACATCAGCGCTATTCAAGAAGCTGCAGTAACAGTCCCGAAGACTCGATAATGACCAACAAAACAATAACTCACCCAGCCAATGGACACGGGACGAGAGAGCGACCGAGGGCAGCAGGAAAAGAGGTAGGACCAGTGAGGGTCAGAATAGAAAGTGGGAAAATGAAAGGCTGGTCTTCCGGGCGGTCATTCGACCTCTTGTGTAAGTCTCGCTCGGCTGTGATCAGGCCCAAACAGTATGATGCAAGGAGCGCGTAGATATTCTAGACTGAGGGCACCTTGACTCCAGTGATTCCCACGATGGCCGAGCCTGGATGGCGTAGGGGATTGCCAGGGTCCAAGGTTCGCTGACTTGATCTTGCAGATAAGATAACAATCGACTATTAGCCAGTTCAGAGCGCATTCTGGCGGCGCTGAGTCAGCAATGTAGCCTTCTCGTCGTACCCAGGTACCTACCTACCTAGGTTCCCAATGCAGGTGGCACCTCTCCCTGGGGCGACTGACGCCTCTGCAACACCCCGATCGAGACAGTACGTGTTGGTACAGGGAACAGCGCAGTGGATTTACCTCGGCATCGCCTCCCAGCCTTGGTCATGTCTCTTGCGATGCAGCTGTTCACTCCTCACCTTTTTGCCAAACATGATCAATCTGGGCGTCGCGAAGCAACTAGGCCCTTGACAACACGATCCATCCCATGACGAAGGCGCTTTTGGGCAGGAAACCAGGTCTTCGCACAATATCATCTTGTCTTTTTCACCATCACAACCATACCGTCAGAGGCATGGCAACTCAGTTGGCCGCACTGCCTGCGATCGAACGGCTGAGTCCGGCATGCATTCGCATCCTTGGCGGTAATCCAGGCAAATTTACCCTCCAGGGCACCAACACTTATCTCCTCGGCACAGGAAGGCGCCGCATTCTGATCGACACGGGCGAGGGCAAGCCCGCTTGGGCCGAATCAGTTAGGTCTGCACTTGAGGAAGAGAAGGCGTCTATCGAAACTGTGCTTGTCAGTCACTGGCATCATGATCACACCGGAGGCATAGCCGACATCTTGAGCATCTGCCCGGAGGCTCAAGTCTATAAAAATGAGCCCGAAGATGGGCAACGAAATATCGCCGACGGCCAGACCTTTAGTGTTTCCGGGGCCAGCTTAACAGCGGTGCACTCCCCAGGTCATACTACTGACCATGTGACCTTTGTCTTCCACGAGGAGGACGCCATGTTCACGGCAGATAACGTACTGGGCCACGGCACAGCCGTTTTTGAGGACCTGGGTGTCTATGTTGACAGTCTCGAACGTATGCGTCACATGTTCAAGGGGAGAGCCTATCCCGGACATGGGCCTGTTGTCTCCGAAGGACCGGCCAAGATTATCGAATACATCCGCCATCGCCAGGAACGGGAGAACCAAGTTTTACGGATGTTACGGACCTCTCATGAGCGGGCTGGTGTCGGCAGTCAATCGGACGACTGGACCGTGATGGAGCTTGTCAAGGTCATATACAAGGACGTCCCCGAAGCCCTGCATGTTCCGGCAAGTGGCGGGGTGTTACAAATCTTGCGCAAACTGGAAGCGGAGGGTCAAGTGGCACAGACGCCAGACGCCGAGAGGTGGATCACGAAGGATAAGTCGTCGTTGTGAATAGCTGTCGTGCCACTGCAGGCAACAGAAAGAAACGCAGTGCATCAACAGTTAAATTGACATGTCAGATTACAAGTAAGGCGCACATACATGCCCTTCATGTTAGAGAGGGTCATTTCTGCTTGTGGGTGCGTTCACAGCACGCCGCTCCCTCAAAATGTTCACACGGACATCTCATAATCGCACTCAGCTTCGAGACCTCCCGGTGCATCCGGTGCTACCTGGCTTGGACGGTTCGGATGTCTTACACTGCATCATCGGACTGCATATTATTCCCGAATATTTGAGCGTTTATACTGTGACCATTGTCCATGTCGGATTGCTCGGGGTTTCCATGATAGTAGATATTGCCACAGACGTGTGTCATTGGATGCTATCAGCGTGTGTTCGCGAGGGGCTGACAACCCGCCCATGCTCACGCATACACCAGCCCGTCTTGGCAGTGAGTGTGGCTCCTCTCGATGTTATGACGAGACTTTGGCCAAATGGCAACCTTCGGTGGCATCAAGGCAATGATACAATTGTTGGCATGCTGGAACTCGAGAATGAAAGAAGGCCCAGCCGCGACGACGACGGAACGTTCCCTTTCTGAATATCACTCTACCTACATTAGGTGCCTTAGGCAGTGTGGTACTTAGTTAAGGACCATTGCAGAAATCCATTCCCTGTCCTCACACAAAGTTAGCGCCGCTGACGCCTGGCCTGCTGCAGGAGACCCTTTTGTCATGACACCTAACCCACCATTGTTATCTTCACAGTTAACCAGCCCTACGCTCCCACCCCTTCGCCCCCACCCATCACCGTCCACCTCACCGCATTAGGTTCCATGGACTGGCACATGGACCGAATGGGGGTATCCTAGCATCCGGCCACTGCAAAGACAAGTCTGCCCAGCGGTTGCCAGTGGTCGGCACCTATGTTGCCCATATTTCGTCTTTCAGTAAGCATCCTTGTCACATGTCGTATGCTTGGCCTGTAGTACGTAGTCAAACAGAACGAGACTCATTATTAGTTGCTGGAAACCTTGATCTTGTGAGCATCAGTTTCTCATCATTACGAATATCGCCGGAACCCTCGGAAGTAGCCTGTTGGTTTGCAGTCTCTGATGCCATACCCTTCACTGTGATTAGCCAGGCGGGCCTGTAACCAGACAGACTGCGGTCAAGGCATCTGTCCGAATGGCTCACATTGCTCATCTCTTGACCGCTCAAGCCGACTTTCCGATGTGACGCCGCGCGTGACGTCGTCTTGCTTCAGGCATCAAGTCACAGATCCATGAAGTCAGTGGGCAGCACAGGGTAGGTACGGCCTCATGAGCTCCTAACGCCGACGATGGGCTCCTCATTGATGCAGCTATTGTCCGATACCTCGACCGGATGCGGGCACTATATGAGGTTTCCTCCCATTATATACAGTTGTCGGTCTCGCTCCCTTGTTTCTTTGCGCATGAAATTGTCAATTAGTCTTGCCTTGTTGAAAGATCCAGGTGGTCGCTACGTCGTATGTTTCGCCCGCATGTGCTGCCCAACTCTTCAACACACATCATGTCGAGCCCTATAACTTCACTCATCATTCTCATCCTGTCAAGTATCATTACACCGGCTCTTACTCACGACAACTGCCATGACGCTACCACGATGAGCGATGGCAGCTCACATACAGAGGCGTTACCTCCAAGTTATTTCAACCTGGCAGACCACGCTGCAGCCATGTATGCGCATATCACGCTCATGGTCATAGCATGGGTGCTTGTGCTTCCTCTTGGTACGTAATTCTTCTTTCGACCTATGTCTTACTAGAAGCGTATGCGTCTGATACAGTATTCAGCTGTAATGCTATCTCTGGCCCGTTCGAGATATACGCTTGCATTGCAATCCGTATTCCTGGCCTTCAATGCGCTGGGCGTTCTTGTTGGCGCCGTCTATAATGCTGTGACACCGGACTTGTACCCCAACAACGCCCATCACAAGGCTGGCTGGGCTTTCACCTGGATTGCTCTGGCGCAGGCTTGTATCGGGCTTTTTGGCCGCACAACGCGGCAGTTCAGGGTTCGCCTACTCGCTCGCGAAGCAAGATCCGATAAAGCACATCAGGCCGTGACTTCTGCGTTTTTTGAGCCCGTGGGGGACAACTGCCAGCATGATGGGCCCCAATGTTCACGAGGTTGCCGTCTATCACACGACAGGGACCAAGGCACGGAGCCCAATACTGGCTCACTGAGTGGCGGATCTGACGCTGGTATGTTGGCTCCGGTATCACTGCCTTTGACAAACCAAGAATGTGAGGACGAAGGTCAAGGGGACCTTGACTCTGCAGATCAACACCCGGTACGATTCTCATGGAACGCAAGTCGGAACTCCCCACGCTGGTTTCGGTTAATATTGAATTCGCTGTTATCACAGGCCTGGAAATCCTGTTTGGTAATCTATGATGTTCTGGATAGAATAATCTTAATCCTGGGGTTCATCGGATTGACTTCCGGTGCAGCGGTCCACGGGCGTCTATTTGTAAGTAGTGTCTCTTGGACATCCCTGAAGCTAGGGGCAAGAACCAGAACTGATTTTCTAAAGGAAGGTCGAGCAATATATGGTGGCATGGCTCACTGGGTCAAGGGCGGTATATTCTTCTGGTTCGGGATCTTCACCTTGGGACGTTGGTCCGGCAGTTTTGGCAAGCTCGGCTGGGTAAGTCATGGCCAGACATTACAGATAAAGAACATGGTAGGCTGACCTCAGTGCCATACAGGCATGGAATGCCCGCACTAGAGAAACACAAGACAAGTGGTATCCCTCTGCTGAACTCGTGGAGAGCGCCCTGATATTCTCCTATGGAGCGACAAATATCTTTCTAGAGCACCTTAGCAGCACGGACAAGACTTGGACACCCCGAGACCTAGAGCATGTGTCCATCACGAATCTGTTCATTGGTGGAGGCCTTGTAAGTCATGATCCTAGCCGCTCTGTACCCTGAGGTCATTTCTCATGGTGCGTCTCTGACAACCTTGTAGCTCGGTATGCTTGTCGAATCAACTCGTGCAAGAGATCTCTTGAATACAACAGGAACGGGGGTTGCTTTTCCTGCCCACGAGACAACACGGATGGACGGAGAACGAACAGAGAAAGAGAAGGCTGCCGAGCCGCCGAAGCATTATGACTTTTCGATTAATCCCGTCCCTGCCCTTGTCATTTTGTTACTGGGCACGACGATGAGCTCGCATCACCAGAGCACCATGGACTCAACCATGATGCACAAGCAATGGGGCAATCTTCTTGCCGGGGCCTCCTTAGCCCGTGGCTTTACTTACGTCTTGGTGTATCTCAAACCGCCGCGATCGATCCTGCCATCGAGGCCACCGACGGAGCTTGTGACTTCATTCTGTCTCATTACCGGAGGTATCATCTTCATGGCGAGCGTATGCAATCACGAATGTTCCCATTCCGACCATATGCTTGGCTAACAAGGTACAGAGCACTGACACTGTCAAGAGGCTGCGTCACTATAATTTGGATGCCATGTTTGTATATACTGTCGTAACCGGCATTGTCGGCTTGTTGATGGCGTGGGTTATCATCGTGCTTGCTGTAAAGGGTGCTGCTGTTCGCCAGCAGAGGAGGGCCCGAAGCTCTGCATGGACGTCTAACGAGCGACAGTATATATGAAAGACACCTTGGGAAATGCTGCGGAGGTCACGGTCTTTTCTCAGATGGACCGTAATTCCTTCCAATTGATCTGGCTGCTTGTTGCGCAGCTAATTCACACCCTCTTCTTTACTATGACAATCGAACAGAGTGTTGTTTTCATGAGCGGGTTGGCGGCTATGGTCTCGAAGCCAGCCAGACTTGGTGCATCTGACATCGCAATCGGAGGCTTCGTTCCATCGCCGAAAGAAAAGACATGCGAAGAAGGCAGGGTCGCCCAAGCGACCCTAATGTGCCCTTCGGTTTGTCCTTTAGGAATGTTCCAACGACGCATAATTTTTGGAGAGCTGCTGCCGGCACATCGCGGTGATGACATTGAAGAGTGAGATCCCGATGAAGGCACCACAGCCGTATTGCGGCTGTGCCCAACTACGACAAAGCTGGCAGCAGCCCGGAAACGGCCATCGTTCGAAGTGAGAACACAGGATATCGTGTCCAAGACGTTGGGAGCCGAGATCAGAAGCCGAGATCAAACGCATTTGTATCTGTAGAGGCCTCATGACCGACCATCGCTCTTCTTGCCTTTTCGCTTCTTACCGCCGCTTTCAGGAACAGTCTCCTTGTCGTCTGCCCTAATCTCCTCCTCGGCCTCCATGGATCTTACGACCCGCGTCTTGTCAACATCGGAATAGAGAGCCACACCCTGCTGCAGCGCATGAACGAGAAACTGAACTGAGTCTGACTTGAAGTCGTCGGCCTTCCGGGCCTTGTCGAGGTCCTGGGCGAACTCCTGCGTTGTGCGCTGCAGGTAGAAGGTGTCGAACTCTGCGTCTGCTGCGGAGGCCATAGCAGCTGAGTGGTAAAATAGAAGGCTAATTGATCAAATGCGAGGAATTCGGAGGATGTACGTTCCAGGGACTACGACATGTGTAAAGAGCGTGCTTAGCAATTACTGAAGTCCGTCGATGGGGTGAAAGAGTTTTTCCCCAATGAGCCTCGTCAATTGCACGGTGTGGATACACAATGCACTGACTACGCCAACTACGGCAGTGTGTACTACACTTCCCTGTCGTCTTTGCGAGCACATTTGATGTGTTACAGGGTCAGAGTTGTGGCGTTCAATCCTCAAAAGAAACTAAACATCCAGCCATTGTCCCTTATCAACCCCGTGCCGTTGATTTTGCTGCGCGAAGCATGAGACTGTGGAATTGTACATTATGCGCGCAAAAGCCCCGCAGCAAATGTTCTATGAATATCCTCATCCGCCCCGCACCGCATCCCAGGAAAGCATGTGAGCCGTTGTGATTCTCCTCAGTATGAACTTCAAGCCCGCTAAAAAGCGTGTTGTGACTACCGCCGGGCGTCTATGCTGGCCCTTGCCGACTCGATGCTCGGTCGCATGGAAGAGCTTGAGCTACGGCGACGCCTTGCGCGTTGCTCGCCTGGGTCTGATGGGTGAAGTCCGGATGACTTGGCAAAGAGGTTTAAGATATCCGTGAGGGATACGACCCCGCTCAGACGCCCTGACAGGTGCGACCCCGGCAGCGCAGAGGCCGGCACGCTGTGTTGCTGTTGCGTCGGCAGCGGCGACGGCGGTACCGCACCCGTGGGAGGCACTAGGACAGATGACGAGGGGCCGAGCAAGGGCGTTGCAGGAGCCGATGGCGAAGGTGAAGCCGATTCTACTACCCACATGCGATGAGCATGCGTTGCGACGAGCTTTGCGACAGTGTGAGCTAAAGTTGAGTAGGGGTTAACGTAGAAGACGGGGAATGAGTCGCGTCCGTGTTCCACGCCTCGCTCGCTAAGTATAACTGATATGAAGTGCAGGCAAGATTGCTTGAGGAGAGGGGCGCTGGCGGCATTGGTGAGGTGTTTGACATCGGCTGTTGAAATATTGCCGACCACGTTCCGAGCATTGTCAATAACAGCAACGCTGGTCAAGCCCTCCGTATTCATGAGAGCCAAGGCTTCGGCCAGAATCGTGTCAGAGCTGGCGCATTGAATTAGCAGAGCACAGTTTAGAAAAGACCGATATACCTTGACCCCTGACAGGGCCACTTACTTTACAGCAATAATCTGCTGGGTTCCAATGGCCAGATCACGAAGAATGGCAGGGTAGAGTCGGTCGATGGCCGGGAAGTTGATGCCCTCATTCCAGAAGAATTCGACTAATTTGAGCTGGCTCAGCATACCAGCAACATCACCTGATGGCCCACAGACGAGGACCCTATGGATGCCGCTACCGAAAATCTCAATGGCCTTGTCCAATGTCTCATCAAAGGGTAACGTGACCAAGGACTCTTTCCTGCAGATGGGTTGTATATCTTGAAGTGTAATGGGACTGCCATCCTGGGCCTTGGTGGCAATTTCGTCGAATAGACGGACCTGACCTTCGTCAGGGTTGGCAAGGCCAACGACGACTAACAGATAGGCATTCAGATCATTGTAGTCGAATGTGGAGATAGCTGTTGTCGCAGATGCGTTTTGGCGGATGAGGACAGCATTCATAGGAGCATGTTTAACAAGTGTCTGATGAAGTAAACAGACAACACGGTCAGCACTCGCAAGCTATCAGAGGATATGGGTTGGGGCCGCCAGGGAATTATATACCATAGAGGCCTCCTCAACGCTCGTGTCGAGAGTAGCCCATTTCACGTCCTCGGGTGACACCAGTTCGTTGACCGAGATGTCGCGCCAGTCCCGGCCGGCAAATCGAGGGTTTGAATGCTTGTTCGCAGCAGGCGGGTGGTTCAAGAGCTCCTGCACAGCGGCTTGGGTGAAAGAAGGATGGCGTTGTGATCGGGGGGAGCCAGGGGCGTTTCGCATATTCTCTGCAAAGCTCGAACGGTGACCAGCGGCGTGGGAAGAAGCCTTGGTAATGCTGGACTGCGATGGTGTCCTCTGAATTGCGGTGGGAATGGCGGCCGCAGTCTCCTTCAGCGGACCTGTGCCTGCCCCTGCACCTGAACCTGAAGCTGGCAGGTCCATGGCGCTTTCCTAGTGTTGGGGTGCCTTCTCAGGGGGAATGGGGTAACGACTCCGTCAATCGCTTCAGATTTTTATTCCGCCACAAGTTTCTCTGTCGAATTCGGTTGTTGAGGTGTTTGGTAACTTTCAAGCGGAGGTCAAGAAGCCATCGACCCTCGGAGCTGCGGTGTGACGATCATATAACGAATTCGGTGCAAAGACGCAGGATGTATCACGGAAAGGGGATAAAAAGACAGCGCAAGGGTCTCAATGTAACGTATATGGGTAGATAGAGCATTCATATGAGTTGTGAGAGTATTGCATGGAGGTCAGGTCAGTCAGGAACCACAACCATCCGGCTGGACTGGAGGGGGCCCTTGGACGAAGCTTAGGATCAAGCAACCCCTCACCTCAGATCATGCGCCGCTCTCTGAACGAAAACAGCGGGTCCATCTAGCGATAAGACTATCGATGGAAGGCGGGGTTCCTATCGGTGGCTATGGTAACAGGGTCATCCAGGCGGTGGCAGCTGTCCACGACGGTGCAACCCACTGGACCCCTCCGTTATTTGACTTTCAAGCTGCCATGGATGCACAAGCGGTTGCCCGCCCCATGCCGCCCTTCACAATTCACCCCTCAATTTTTTTTGTTGTTCCCGCCCTGCCATCCTATACCTATTCTCGTCCCTCCCGCTCCATCCTTCATTATCGAGCCTGCGAAACCATAAAGGGCCATTTTCCTTGTGCTGTTTTTTGTTGTACACAACAGCCAACACAGAGAGAGGTCGGCCTGGATCGCTTCTGGCTCGTCGTTTACCTACCCAACTCTTTTGTTGCGTCTCCCAAGCGTCTCCCGACAAACGACGCGACGACCTGACCGACACAACACCGGGACCTACGTATCAGGCACGCCCCCGCCCGAAGGCTAAAGCCAACGTGCTCAACACACAAAGTTATTGGCTTGTCGCGAGCAGCAAAGCCATTCCTGCTCGCCTCGCCTGCTTCATACCACGTCTGTGTGACACATCGTCATCTCGGACTCGGCTGGGGCTTCTACATACATCCGCCTCCGAAATAGCTCGAAGGAAATAACATCAGCCTCAGCACCACTCGCAGCCATGTCGATCCTCCCCGCTGATGTTCATGCGGAGCTGACCCAGCTTCTGCAAGCTCTCCAGTCTGCCGACAACAACACTCGAGCCCAGGCTGAAGAGCATCTGCAAAACAACTGGACGAACACCCGGCCCGAGATCCTGCTCATGGGCCTTGCTGAGCAAGTTCAGGCCGCATCTGATACTCCGGTTTGTCGAGCCTTCCCCATCGCGACTCCCCACACCAGCCTCACCTGCTAGAGTTTGGAACAACTTTGGCTGACTTGGCCTTTTGTCTTGCAGGTGCGCTCCTTTGCTGCTGTTATCTTTCGCCGAATCGCTTCGAAAACCCGCAAGAATGAGAGGGGCGACTCGGTAGACATGTTCATTTCGTTGGCCACCGACCAGGCTGCTGTCATTCGCCAGAAGCTCCTCGAAACACTTGCAGGCGATTTCGACCGCTCCGTAAGGAATAAAATCAGTGATGCCGTTGCCGAAATCGCTAGGCAATACACGGAGAACAGTAAGGCGCCGATAATGAGAGGGTGTCTCTTTACTCAAGCATTTTGACTGATTTCCCGACAGATGACTCCTGGCCCGAGTTGCTTGGCGCACTGTTTCAGTTGAGCATGGCCCCTGAGGCCGAAAAGCGGGAGACAGCCTTCCGCGTGTTCGCCACGACTCCTAGTGTGATCGAGAAGCAACACGAGGAGGGCGTCATGCAGGCCTTCCAGAAAGGCTTCAAAGACGAGTCGATCCAGGTCCGCTTGGCTGCCATGGAGGCCTTCGCAGCCTTCTTCCGGAGCTTGGGCAAGAAGGCCCAGGCCAAATACTACCCGCTCATTGCCGATGTTCTCAATATTCTACCCCCCATCAAGGAGACACACGACTCTGAAGACCTCAGCGCCGCCCTCGTTGCTCTTATCGACTTGGCCGAAACTGCTCCCAAGATGTTCAAGAG